AATTTACACGATTATGCCCAGTTTTTACTATTGGTGAACCGTTGGTGTACTCTAAAATTTTCCGATAGGTTAAATTGATATTATTACATCTATTTCCGGAGTTTTTGAGCCTTTTGAAGGCATTCTTCAGAGTTTTTGTAAAGCGTTGGTGAAACGTTGGTGTATTCCAAAGTGCTCCGGTAGCTCAAATTTACATTCCTTTATCTAGTTTCAACATTTCTTGTTGTTTCTAAGTATTTTTGAAGCATTGGTGAAACGTTGGTGTTAGTGTACAGTACTCCAAAAGCTTGGATTGGCAAGACTAAGGCAGCTTCTAACATTTTTAGGTAATTTTTAACCAGTTTTGAAGCATTATTGGAACGTTGATGTACTCTTAATACTCAAATACTACAAATATATTTTATTTACTTAAACATTTTTGCACCAATATTAAGCATTTTTAAAGCGCTGGTGAAATGTTGATGAAACGTTGGTGTATTTCAAAGTATCCCGAAAACTAACAGCTCTATTATTTTTTAGTTTAAAGCTTTGCGTACACTTTAAAAACTACTACACTCATTAGCTTTAAAAATCAATGGCGCAATGGGAACACAATCACCGCCAAATACCTTACGTCAATGCCACTGATATTATTAATAATACCAACAACAACTACATAAAGTGTCTGCCACAATATTTATAAAGTGGGTTGTATCAGCTATACATAAATTCATGCACATTTACAATAGCACCAAAAAAAGTTTTAATTGAAAAATATTAAATTTCAACAAAACATTCAAACACACAATACGGGTGCTTAAAATAACAAACGCTGCACACAATTTCACGTGCTGTAAATATGTTGGAAGGTAAGCGCAAATAAGAGAAAAACAACCGCCAGGCACAATAAATTAATTGATTAGACATCCTCACATTTCACAAAAGGCGCGCAGAGCAAAAGCAACATCCAAGCAAATAGCGAATTTATGATTGTATATTTTCGGCAAAATTATTGTGGGTACACCATTGATGAAGCGCACATATCCTTATATACATATGTGTAAGATATGCATATAAACATAAAATAAAACAATCACGGCAGCCAGCAGCGCACGTACACAGAGATATGAAGACAGCTACAGCAACACACAAATCATCTTCGGTTGTAAAGGAGATTTTTATGCGCCAAAACGAAAGGTTGAAATTTCACCACCTTTGTATATTATTTATATAAATCATATGTGTGTGTATGCATATGCATATGCATATGTATGGATGTATGTATGTACGGGTGTATGTGTGTGTGTGTACCTTTTTCTATGTCGCACAATTTTCTTAGCATACTTACAGGGTTGGTAGTAGCCTGCATGCATATTCATAAAATTTCGGCAAAGCGATTGAGGCGCATCCAAAAGGCAACAATGTTATTAATTTGCTGTGGTGGGAGTGAGCGCGGAAGAATGAGCGGTGGCAAGAAAATATCTAGGAAAAATTGCTCGAACAAGCAATAACCACTTGCGGTGTAATTCAATATGAAATTTACGAGTCTATAAATGTTTCCAAGGGGTATATTGTTGTATGTTGGCAGAATATGCGAGCAAGAAAGGCATGTGTGTGTGGGAATGAGTGGGTCGATGAGGCTTTGCAATAGCAAGCGTAACCGGCCTTTTTATAGGTTTTTGTTGCTTTTAATATTTGTTTTATATGTGTACTACTTGTTGCTGTAATTTTTGCCCGAAATAATGTCATCAATAGCGCAGCAATCGCCTTTCTGCGTTTGACAGAAAACGCGAACAAATGACGTCTTAATGATATTAAAAGTGCGTCGAAGATTTGATTATGCCCAGCTAGCTTTTTTTGAGTCTTCAAAATTGATTTAAGGTGACCAGTACAGCCTTTGCACTCTTTTTAAGCCCTTACATAGGTATATGCGATAAGTAAAGCTTTTGCATTCAATTTAGGTCTAAACTGTACCTAATTTGGATAATAGTTGAGCTGGATTTGAGTCCAATTTGAGCTTAATTTGAGTGCCACTAAATTTTTGCTCATCCCAGAAGCGAAATTTGCTTCCAAAAAACTTGCATGTGAACTTTAACAAATTATATGTATACATATAAAATTACACAATTATAAAAACTCTCAAATCCAGTGCAAATATTTTATCTCTTATTCACACGCATTCTTAAGATAAATTCTAGTTAAAGTGTGTATTAGATTTGTTTCAAAATTTGTTTGAAAAAATTTAGCTTAAACTAATTGTACTCCATTTTTGAGTTAAAAAATTGAGTGAAAATTTAGAGCGACTAAATATATGTATGTTTGTAAATAGCCTTTTTGTACTCAATTTTTGAGTTAAAAAATTGAGTGAAAATTTAAAGCGACTAAATATATGTTTGTATGTTGCCCTTTTTCATAATTTGAGTGAAAATATTTTGTTAAAACCTTGAATGAGTTATAAATTTGAGTGGAAGCTTTGAGTAATTATAGAGCTACAAAAATTTGTGAAAATTTAAAGTGACTAAATATATGTTTGTATATTGCCTTTTTTCATAATTTTAATTAAAATATTTTGTTCCAACCTTGAATGAGTTATAAATTGAGTGAAATTTTTTTATAAAAAAATATTTGAGTGAAAATTTAGGTTGAAGAAATCGGCACATTTATTATTTGAAAGGTATGAAATTTACTATCTTCCCTGGTGTGCATACATACATACATACATTTGAACAATTGGACTTACTGTGCTAATTTTAGTTAAGAAATTGGGGGAGAAAATTTTAGCACTACATGCCTTCAATTAGAGTTTTGAGTTAAAATCTTGGGTGAAGAAAGGTAAGAACTATTTTCTTTCAATCTGTGTAAAACGTTTGAATTATAATCTTAAGTTAAAAAATTTGTGAAAATATTGAGTGAAAACAGGTTAAATAGTTTGACACTTATAGAATTTGTTTCGGGGTTTTCTCTTTCGTATCACTAGCTTGTATTTACACACATATGTATGTACGTACATATGTATGTAAAACATATCCTTCTGCGTAAAATTTTTTCTATCTTCCCCTTTCTTAACTTACTTACAGCCGGGGAACTATTGTTCTACATTGAGGGAATTAAAAAATTTGTGAAAGTTTTAAGCACTATTTGCTTTCTGTGTGAGGGAAAAAACATTTGAAATGAAATCTTGAGTAAAAGTTTGAGTGAAAAAAATTGAGCGAAAATTTGGAGTAAAAATTTGAGTGAAAAACTGAATAAAAATTTTGAGTAAAAAAAAAAAATATTTGAAACTTTTCGCAAAGAGCAATTGACAGTTTATGATACTTTTTCTTTTTTTGGACTGCAAGTTAAAGTTTGCCTGCTTGTTTTTTCGATTCATTCTTTGCATATGTACATATGTATGCATGTACATATATGTTGCATAACATATGTAAACTATGTAGCCCACTGTGATATCTGCTATCAATAAGTACTCCAGTAGTGCAAGCCAGTCAACTCTCAACGCTACCTTACTAACTGACAATCACAATTTTCGCTCGTTGTCGTTTTATGCAACACATGTCTATACCTTATGTGTAAAAGTTTTCCACAACAACAGCACTAAACCACATACTCAACCACACCCAAGCCTTCACATACGCGCATCTGTGTATTGTATTGTAGTAGATACTTTGGCATTAAATGAGATTGCCGGTGTGTTTTGTGTTGACGAAAATATGATAATTGGCAAATTTGACAAGGGAATTTTTCCTTAAACTTGTAATTGCAACAACAATAGCAACTTAACCGCTGACAAACCAAGGAAACCCAAGGTGCTTAAATACGAAAACAAACACATACTTTTTGATGCGCTGCAAAATTTCCATATGTGAACACACGAACACGAACATAGATACATACATACATACCCATACACACATACGTTGCGCCGAGTTAATATCGTATTGAAAATTTTCGAATAACGTCAAAAGACAAGACAAAGTTTTTAACTGTTTCTCCAAGTAATATGCAGGCATATATTCTTAACGTGCGCTTGTACGATTTTATGTCTTGCGGGAATGGTTGTTATTGCTTTTACATATATATTATAAAGTCTGCGCTGTGCTGCTCTCTGCACTACTGATATTTTTGTTATTTTTGCTTTGTTGTTTTGGGTGTGCATGATTTTTTAATGACAGACGTTGTCCTGCACACACACACACACATTTATATACAGCATATGTATGTATGCGCATACCTTGATAAACAAATACTTTAAGGGTATGTGATTGTTTTATGCTTTATGTTCTATGTTTATGCATCAAAATTAATTTTATTTTACTTTGGGGCGGTTTTTAATTGATGAGCAAAAATTGGCGGTTGCGGTGCTGTTGTGGGTCTTACCTTTGGCTGTGGCAGCAGGAATAAGAGTAGTGAGCTAGGTAAGGGATAGGAGTGATTGTTTTGTAGTTGTTGATATTAAGTTAGGAGTATGTTCGTTTTCGAAGGCGAACAATTTCTTTAGGGCATTACAAAACTTGAATATGTGAAAAAATTTGTTTGGTAAGGCATTGAGAAACGACGGTGATTTTTAATGGCATGACTATTACATGCATTACTTGCATACATAAATACCTTCCATTAAGCTGATAATCACAAAATTTCTTGATAATTACAATTACTTGTAATGATTACATAATGATTACTTACACATAATTGCAAGCGACGAAATTATAGCGCTTGGTTGGAGCTGTAAAGTTATTAGCAGTATATGAAACCCATCTAATTACATGTAATGATTACAAATACATGTAATGATGGCTTTACGATTACATGTCATATCAAAATAATTACTTTCAGTTATCCACGTGATGCTAAAAGATATTTTTAAAAGATTTTTTTATATTATTTTTTTTAATTTTTCTTATACATATTATCTACATTCAGACATGTACAAGAATATTTAAAATCTCGCACTCGCACAACTCATTAAACGCCCACTTCTAATATTTATTATTTTTTTCTTCTTTCCTCTTCAATACCATATTCAGATTAAAGCACTCATCGAAGAGGTACAACGCCTGCGCACACTCGAACAAACACAACTCACACAAATACAACGTCTGGAAGATCACTTGGAAGTGAAACGTCAGCATATCATACGTCTTGAAGCGCGACTCGATAAGCAACAAATTAATGCAGCGCTTGCCGAAGCAGCTGCCACAGCAACAGCTAGCAGTGCAATAGTGACACCAACAACAACAGCAGCAGCCTCCTCAACGTTGCCAGTGACACATGTTGTCAACGACGACGAAGACGATGATGATGATAATGAAGGAGATGAGCAGGATGACAAAGATGGCGAGCAAGCTGCGATAGTTGCCATTGCTGATACAGCAGCAGTTGCCAAAATTGATCTAACCACAACAACAAGAGCGGAAACAACAGCGACGGAGCGCATCACAGATGCTGATGCCGATGCCGTTGCCGATGCTGAGACAGTAGCTGATGCTGAATTAGCGGTTGATCGTGCATGTGAGAAGCTTACAACAGCGACGGCAACCACTACAACAACAACGACAGCGACCACAGCAACAAATAATAATGGCAGCAACACAACTGCAGCTGCTATTGAAGTAACTGAACCAACAGTTGGCGAGATTAAAATCAAAAAGGAAAACCAGTGAGTCCCAAAGTTTGATTTGAATGCATTTTCCAAAATAGTTAAATACTTTTTGATAAAAATACATAATTATTGAATAGCAGCAAAGTCACTTGAACTTACTGTTGTTGTTGAATAGAATTGGTATTTTTTGTTATTAAATTATTACAAAAATTCAAGCGCTTACCTAGAACTAGCAAGTAAAATTTGTTTCCATTCAAATCTTATCTAAAACACATATCTGATTTGTTTCTTGTTTCTTCTTCTTGCTCCTCTGTCCTCCCCACTCAACAGCAGCCCACTCGATTTGGATGTGATTAGTCAGCAATCGGCTATAGCTGCTGCTGCAGCAGCCGCTGCTGCCGCTGCATGCGCCAATGATCCGAACAAATTCCAGGAATTGCTGCTTGAAGGCACCAAAGCGTTGGCGGCCGCCGAGGCGTTCAAGAGTGCTGCTGCCGGCTCAAGCGCTACAGAGGGTAAGTGCGCCTTTTCTTTCATTCGTACTTCCGCCTACATACTCGCTTCTTCTTCTACTAGTTTAACTTCTTATTGATATTTATTCTACTTGGTTACCACTTCACTTGCTCACTTGCTTATCTGCTGTGATATCTGTTGCACATTTTCGATTTTACTAAGAACAAAGAATAAATTAATATAGAAAACAATTTCACACAAATACATACATATTTATGGTGCTGTTAATATTTGATTGTTTTATTTTATTGTTTCTTTATTTGTTAATTGCTATGTTGAACATTCCAGCACACTTATTTTTGTTGTTATATTTAAGTACTTATGTACATACATACATATACGCTGCTCCTGGCGTCTGTTTGACTTTCTTTGATTATTTCAATATTTATTCGCAGTGATAAATAATAATCAAACAGATAACTTGTGATTAAATTTAAATTAGTAAAAATTGTAAATTGATTCACTCTTGGGCGTACTTTATCAATTTATGAAGTTTTTCCATAATTTTTTCTTCAAAAAAATTTTATATTTATACCTTTAAAAGACATAAAATTATAAAAAATTCTTTTATAAGCTATTTACATATTTTTATTGCACGTATCTAAGTAAAATTAAAAAAAAATCATGTTTGACCCAATTATTATTTAAAAAAAATTGGAAGAAATTGAAGAAAATAGAAAGACAATTCAACAAAAAGTAGATATGTATTTCCATAAAAAAAACAACTTTGAAAAAATTTTAAAATAATTTGAATTATTTCTTTGTTTAAAATAGGTTTTTGTAATTCATACTCATTTGTATTATAAGTTTTGCCTGAAAATCAAAAAAGTTGAAAAAATTTCCAATTTTAAATTGCAAAAAATTATCTACAAAAAGCGAATTATTGAAATATATATATTTTTTTTAATTCACTAACACATAATTTTTTTATAAATTTGGAATGCATATCGTATCTCTTAAAAAAACAATCCAACTTAATTTGCAATAAATAGAATTAAAAAAAAAATTAGTCAGAAAATAAGATATTATAAAGAAGTTAGGTTAAACAATTAAAAACAATCGAGTTCAATAAATATTATCATTTTCAATCATTCAGTGACTTTTTGTAAAAAATTCGAAAAATCAAGACAAAAAAATAAAAAATTTACAATTTGATAGTTTTAAGGTTTATTTAACCATTTTAAAACCACCGGTAAATTTGGATCAAAAATGGAAAAATTTATATATACATATATATATATTTTTTAAATAAGATATATTTGATACTTTTTACAATTAAAAAAAAAAATTAAACCTGTGTTAATAGAGCTCCAAAAGCATAGATATTTATGAATTACATTAGAATACTTTATGTTTGGTTCCCAGATGAAGATGCACCTGGATATTATAAATACTGTCTTTTATGCCATCATAAGATTTTGAACGGTAAATGGCATAAGCTAATCCCAAAGTCACTGAGGTGGGTGAGTACGTGATGAGGGCTTAGACTCGCGAAAACTGGACAGCCTAGTAAAAAGTGTTGAAGTAATCATCCTCTAGGCAACTGCGGCAGTAACGATCAGATATGATTTTTAGTCTCACTTCGTGAATTCCAATTGCATCCTAAGGAATTCCTTTGACCGCCTGCGGTCCTCCATCGGCCAGAAATCCTGCGATAGAACATGTTTTAGCTCTCACCCAGTGTTCGCAGGCCTTACACCAGGATCGTCTATCAAAGAGTAGTCCACATGTAGTAAAAGGTACTCCCACTCCCTACTTTCCCAGACTAACTCGAGGGGCCTTACCTGGTCTGCTCATCCCCCTCATAGTTTTATGCAATATTACTCTAAGTCAATATATATACATATGTAAACTTTTTGCGTTCTGACATTCACCCGCATTCATTTGAATGCTGTGTGAGCGAGGTCAAGGCCAATATTGCCGCCTGACTATTAGATTAAATATTTAGCTCCCTTGTCGATTTCGCGTAAATCAGCTGCTGATCGGTGGCACTCTTAATGGCAACTACCTCTGCTTGGAAAGTAAAATAGTAGTCCGGGAGCTTAAATTTGAGCCTGATCGAGAATTCCCTCAAAATACATTTCCGTCAAGCTTCAGCTTGTCCGGGGAGAATTTTACCGGCGCTGGCTTCCAAGCTCTTCCCCTCGTCCACTCATCTCTAGCGGGGAGGGAATTGTTGCTTTTCTAGTAATGCCTTGTTACAAGTAACACAGTCGAAGCCTCCTATAATTATAAAGTGTCCAGAAGCTTAGTTAATTAACATCCGTCGCAGTTCTTGCGACAACAGCCTTTAGCATAAGGTTAAGAGCCAAAGTTGCAGTGATTCTAAGTGTACCACTGATTCCAATACGCCTATTGGCATTTTTTATTTTTTTTTTTTTGTGTATATGTATGTATGTATTTCTGTTTGTATACGAAAAAACTAGTACTTATTAAATGTTCACACTTTACACAATGACTTAAAATTTTTTTATATGTAAATGGTCAACCACTAACTCTTACACGGTAGCTTGCTTCCTCTTGCATCCCTTTGATGATCTTAATTAGTGCACTTATTTTTGTATCAGTCGTCACAAGTTCAGTTGTGATAAAAAATAAATCACTGAAACTAACAAAAAAAAAAATATCACAAAATTCGCATTTATGATTTTTCAATATAAATAAATCAGCAATAGATATTATATGTAAATGAGTGTCTACAAACAACAAACACAACAAGAGGAAGAACATTGTTAAACAAACGCAAATTTCAGACAACAAATATGCAATAAAATTATTACAGCTATTTGCTTGGTAGATGACAAAAAAAATTACAAAAAAAAAATACTTAAATAAATATCTAAAAGGTGTTGCGTGTGTGCATGACATGTGTTGCGGTGTATTCGCATGCGTGCTGGTGGCATGCGCTGGAAGAAAATACAAGTACATAAATGAAAATTTCACAAGACGAATTGGCGATCGCTTGTCAATAGCTGATGACTTCGATCGAACCACATTGTGGAGCTGCGGAAGAGCAAGCGAACGGCGCATTGGAATTGTAAAAAGTGGCGCCAAGCATTTTATGACCCAACGTCGTCGATGCGTGTGCGTGTGTGTGTGTGCTATGTCAACACCAACGGTTTCACGGTTTCCCCACTGACGCTGGCAACGGCCACAATTACGGCGAGCAATAAAAAAGCGGGACAGTTATTGGCAAATAAGAACAGCAACAGCTATAAAAAAAAGCAACAACAAAAATTAGTGAAACATTTACGCTTATCTACTCCTACTCCTTAACTGCTCTGCTCTTCTTTTTTCCAATTCTTATAAATATATTTATTGCAGTGTTTTTTAAAAAAAAAGAACTACAACAGCAACAAATGTTTCTTTCTTACATACTACATTCCATATACATATTAATAAAATATAATAAATAACTTTATGGATGGTTGGTGCATGCTTGTTGCAAATACATATACATATATTTACATATTTTTATTAGCATTCTTTTCAATAAATAATGCGCGGCTATAAAAGTAAGAATTTAAGTAAAAAAAAAACAAAACCTAACAAGCAAAATCAGCAAGGAACTGCAAGAAAAAAAGCAAAGTTTGCAAATCGAAATTCAAGCAATATGTGGAAAAGTTGCTGATACATGTTGCTGCAATAAAGCAAGAATTGGCAAAAAATGGCGAAACTTATTTAAAAATGGCAAATATTTTCAAAATTTTGGCTTATCCAATTGATTATTTTGGCGTTCGTTGTTGGCAAAGCGGCAGAGGAATTAATATACTTGCTTGCTGGTGGCTATGTTTTCTAGAATGTTCGAAGGTTTTTGAATATTGGTTACCTACAAGAATTTTAATTGAAAATTTACATCAAGCACTAATTGAAAAGCTGGACAATAATTCTTTCAAACTTGAGATATTTACAAAAATTAAAAACTAAAATAAGTTCATACATTTTAAAAATTTAAAAGAAAATACAAAAAATTAATTTCATTTACTTTGATGTCATGTTTAAATTCAGAAAAAAAGTAGTAAAAAAAATCAGATTTTTTTTTATTATTTTATTTCAAATTTCATGCATATATTTTTGTTTGCCTACATAAATCTTATAACACTTACAAAATGAAAAAATGTTATTAATTCAAAAATTTCCAAGAATACAAAAAGTCATATTTTATTTTTCTTTATATATTTAAATTTTAAGTTAAGAAAAAATTCTGTATTTTAATAAATTTGATTCTTTCACATTTCGTATAAATAAGAGTAAATAAAAGAAATTCCTGCAATTTTAAAATTTTCAAATACTCTTAAATCCATTTCCAAGTATTAAATTTTCAGCAATGTATGTGTGTTTATTTTGACAAAACAAATTAAGAGTGAAACTGTAAAATTAAATTTTTTAAATTGATAAATAATTGGAACTGGATAAAAAATTTTGTATAAAGAATAATAAACAATCGTGGTACAAAGCTCAATAAAAATATTAAAGAAATAAAATAAAAAATAAAATAAAATAAAATGTTAGTAAGCCACAATAACATTGACAAATACATATAAAGTAAATAAAATAAATTCCCGTAATTTAAAAATTTTCAAATAATCTTTAAACCATTTCCAAGTAATAAATTTTCAACATATCGAGCCCTAACGGCCTAAATAACGTAAGCGACATATTTTTCAAAATTTTATTTTTGCTGCAAAAATGCATCCAGGTACTCTAGAAATATTTCTGCATCAAAAATAAAATTTTGAAAAAAAATGTCACTTACGTTATTTTGGCGGTTAGGACTCGATATGTGTATTTATTTTGATAAGAAAATAAGAGTGAAACTGCATAATTAAATTGATGAAAAATTACAACACTTAAAAAAATTTATAGAAACTAAAAGTATTTAATTTTGAGAAAACGAAGAAATACAGGCTCATTAAAATTCGTAGATTAAAATTTTGTGTTCACATTTTTAAATTTAAATTAATGATTTTAGTTTTCATAAATTTTATAGATATTTTTTTATTTAACTATTTCTTTTAATCAAAATAATACATAGACTTTATAAAAAAAATAATTGAAAATAAATAATAAAAAAGAAGTTAGAAATAATTTAAAAATATCTGCATTAAAAATTAATTTTACCTTTTCATGAAAGTTTAAATATTATTGCTAGTCAAAACAAAAAAAATGCACATAAGAATCGCATGGAGAGTATAACTAAAATTTCGATGAAAAAGTGTACTTAAATTTTTTTTAATTTTACAGATATGCTTATAATACCATCCAAAACTTTTAATTTATAAAAAAACTTAAAAGTCGCAAAACGTTTTATTGATTTCAGATATACTTCGAGATACAAAAAACTACACTTAAATCTTAAGTGTTTTTCTAAAAAGTAATCTCAAAATTACGAAGAAAACAAATGCTACAAACCATCCACATACTTCAAAATATTTTAAATTTAATTAAAAAAATTAATACTCTTGAAACCAATTTAAAACAAGTGAAAAGTTAAAACAACAGCAGTCTTTAAAAATGTCTGCAATCAAATTTTGTAAATTCATGCTGGAAAAAAATGCGAACAATTTTCAAAAAATTTAAATATAATTTTTCTAAAAAAAAAAAACATTCAATAGTCCCGGAAGTTCATAAAATCGAATTAACTGAAACTTCCCCAAAAAAAATGTTTGCCCGAAGCTACATGAATTTTTATAAACTTTCCTGAAACTTAATTGGAAAATTAAGAAGTAATAAAAATTTTTGTAATTTCAAAACTAAAAAAGCAAATATTAAAAATTATAATTTTTTAAGAATTACTTAATGGTTGTAATGAAAATAGCCTTTGCAATTATCAAATTAAAATTATTAAAATATTACATTGAAAAATATAAACCAAAAATGTTTTCTTAAATTTAAAAAAATAGGGAAGGTTCAAAAAAAATATTGAACCAAACTATAAAACCCACCCTTGAAGTGAAGACATATTTGCAATCCTCTTATGCATTCTAATAAAATATATTCCTTGCGAAAAAAAATTATTTTTAATTTTAGACATACATTTTTTTTTTGATTAAAATTTGTGTATTGGTAACTAATATTCAAAATAGCTCAATAATACCCAGTTCTCTACCAAACAAAACAGCTTGTAAGCAACAACAAAAATAACATTTCCAAATACAAAAATTAGCCCAAAAATCCGCTATCTTTTTAATCATTCCATTAACCATTTCTGATATGAATTTGAGAGATTTGTTGTTGACAACAACATTTTGTGTGCTGTGTCTGTTTGCTCTGTGTTCCGCAGGAACAACAGTTGCTGCCAGCCAACCAATGGATGACGCTGATGCCGGCGATGTCACTGCCGCTGCTAGCAGCAGCAATAACAGCAGCGGCGGCAATGAAAGTAAAGAGGTCGACGACGATGATAGAGCGTCGCCCGCAACAGCCATTGCACAACTGAATATCATGCCAAAAATACCCAAAATCGAAATTGTCGATGACGACGACGATGATGACGATGAAGATATCGAAGCAACCGAGCATAGCACAATGCCAGAATGCGCCAACAATGAACTGCCTGAAGGTGAAAATCCAGAGGAGGCGTGTGAAAGCGCAGCTGGTGATGCGGATGAGAGCGCATTACCGCCCACAATCGATGTGGATGCCTTGGAGGCTGCGACAAGCGATGAGCCGACAGCCGCGCCCGCTCTCAACGTCCCCTCAGAGAAGTCCGATTTGCAAGCTTTGCAGCAACATGTTGCCGACTCCACTGCAGCCGCCGCCGCTGCTGCTGCGTCATGTTTCGATGAGAATGTCGACACGTTTGGCACGCTGCTTGGCGAAGAGCTGGTGAATTCGTATTGGCGTGGCTTCAAAATGCCCACTGCGGCCAGCCAAAGTAACACCAGCGGCGGTGCATCCAAAGCGCCCAATGCTAGTAACATGTTTGCCAATCAACTACAACACCGCTTGCCGCAGCAACAGCCACATCATCACCACCATCAGCAGCCACACCACCACCCAATGCACCACCATCAGCACACAACACTAATGCCGCATCACTTGCATCACCACCAACACCACCATCACCAGCAACAACAGCAGCAGCAGCAGCAGTCTGCCTCAGTTACGCAGCAGCATGGACCTTCGTCCACCGCGCTGCTCAGCCAATTAGTTAATTCCACTTTCTCATCAGCACCTCCCACTTCTTCTTCTTCTCTACGTACAGATGCGCTCCTGCCATCCCACCAACACCACCTCAGTCACCACGCGCAAGGGCCCGCCGCGCCACCACCACCACCGCCACCAATGCCGTCACATCATCACCTGCATCAGCCACACCTCAGTAGCGATGCGCATCCGAAGTCCAGTTTGGATGCATCAAACACCAGCAGCAACAATAATCATGAGCTATCAGCCAATGCAAATGCGTCGCACGCGCTCGATCAGCGCGATGACCACCATAGTGGGCTAAATGGCAGCGGTAAGTCACTGCTGGAGGACAACAACAACACCTTGTGCGGCACACCAAACGCAAATGCGCCCAGCGCTGCTGCCATGGCAGCCGCCGCTATGGCCGCGCAGCCACATCCACACCTGCCACCCGGCTACTTGCACGCGCTACCATTCCAATTCCAAGATCGCGGTCATTTTCGCTTTGCCGACGACTTGCAGCTGCCGCCGGGCGCCTCGATGGCTGGTCGCCTCGGCGAGTCACTCATACCCAAGAGTGATCCGATGGAGGCAAAATTGCAGGAAATGCTGCGCTACAACATGGACAAGTACGCCAATCAGCCGCTGGACACGCTGCACATCTCACGCCGCATACGCGAGCTGCTATCGGTGCACAACATTGGTCAGCGGCTATTCGCCAAGTATATACTGGGGCTGTCACAGGGCACCGTGTCGGAGCTGCTGTCCAAGCCGAAGCCGTGGGACAAGCTGACCGAGAAGGGACGTGACAGCTATCGCAAAATGCACGCCTGGGGCTGTGATGATAACGCTGTGATGCTGCTCAAGTCGCTCATACCGAAGAAAGGTGAGTACAGTTTGCGTATTTTTGAAAATTTTAAAATTATGCTTTCAGTTAGTGAAAAGTTTTGACAGCGCAACACACAGGTGACAGGTAGTTGTTAAGCGTGCATTTGAGTATAGTGTTAGGGCGGGTGGTAGTTTTGTGTATTTTGGACTATGTTTCTGACAGCTGTCAACCATGCGAAGGTATTTTTGTGTCATGCTTGGCGAAAATAAAGAATTTGTGTGGAGCTGCGTCGGCCGATAAGCGAAAAATATGTAGGTTGTGCAGGAAACTCAAAGGAAAAAAGCATTTGGATAAAAAGAATGTTGTTGTCAAATATTTTCGGAAAATTGTACTTTTTTAAGAAATTCTGTTTGTTTAGAAAAATTAAAAAACCAATTAAAATTTTCTTTGAGTAAATTTTTGTAGAAAAGTTATTAGAAAAATAGTAAAATAATGCGAAAAGTACGAGTAATTTATCAGAATATTAATAAAAAATTTAGCAAAAGAAAATGGACAAAGTACTGAAACCGTTTCAAAATAAATTAGTAAAAAGGAGACATTGGTTTGAAATAAGAGTAATTGAAAATTTATAAGGAGTAAAATAAGTGGAAAAAATACTAGAAAATGGTTGAAAAAGTAGTAGAAATTAACCGCATGCGCAAGTTATACAGTAGAGAGAGCAAAAGAATGAGAGAAAGTACAACATAGTTTTACAAAAAGTTGTAGAATTAGCAATTAAAATTTTAGGTAAAAAAAATTGTAGACAAGTAGTAGAGAATATTTCAAAAACTTTATTAAAGATAGTCTATGGAAATTTAAATAGAATAATAATAGAAAATGTTGTAGAAAGGGAGAAAAATTGAAAAAAGTTCTGGAAAATATTTCAATAAATTTGGTAGGTAAAGTGTAAAATTAATAAAAAATTACTTGATAAATGTCTAATGTTGCGGAAATTGGAAAATTGAAAATAAAAAAATATTTCTGAGAAGAGGGAGTAAAAAAGTAAAAAGGTACAGAAAATTGTTTATAGTAGTAGAAATGGTAGTAGATGTGTAGCAGAATTTTATTAGAATAGTAATGAAACATTGCGAGAATTACTCTCTTTTCTTCAGTGCTAGAAAATTTAAGAATTTAAGATTAGTCGAAAAAAATTAGGAAAGTAGTAGAAAAGTACCATAAATTGCAATTAAAAATAAAAAGTTCACGAGAAAAGGTAGTAAGTGCTAGAAAATGGGCAAAAAATGTGTCTTCAAAAATAAATCATTACCTTCAGACTTTAGAGATTTATATTACTCTCTCAGCTGTCTGTCTCTTTTTATTCCTATGCAACTGCCAATTTATTCCGACTAACAGCATCCTTGTCACCTCACTAAACCAATCACATCAAAGTGCAAAAATGGCAAATGAAATTTTTTCAAACATTTATCCACCAAAATCTTATTTATTACACACTCAAAATTCAATTTAATTTATTTAACTACAAATGCAATCAAACGGAAAATCAAATACTATCTATTCGTACACACGCGCTGAAGGCCAACAGCATGCAAATTTCAGTGAGAAAAAAAATCAAAAAAATAAACATCTACGAAAAGCGACATGCGAATCAAACACGAAATTAGTAATGCATAATAAAATCAAATTAGAAAATTGAAAATAATAATAAAATTGCCAAATGAAAATTTCGCAAAAAATATTGTACAATAAATTTCTGTTAAATTCGGTGCACACACACAAAATTGCTTTTATTGCATGAAAACGAACTGTAAAGTATCTGTCCAACACACAAGCCAACAACAAAGCAGTGCGAGGCGAGGCAACGCCTTCAATTTGGTATTTGTGACCGTCGTTACGCTGCATTGAGTGCTGTTCGAAAATTTTCGACATAAATAATTACCCAAAAATTAATGTATGTAGTATTTAAAGAGAAAATTTAAAAAAAAAAAACCTAATTAAAGCAACAAAAATCGTATAGAAAATGCACACATTCTATCATTCGGAAACCACCTCCAAATGCCGAACACGAAATCAAAATTCGACGAAAAAAAAGTTCAGAAAATTGGTGACATAAATATTTGCAAAGTATTAACGTCACTTTATGTTTATTTTTTATTTATTTTTTGGTCGTTCTTTTTTGCTTCTGCAGTGCTTTGCGCTCACATCAACCAATTTGTTGTTAAACATTGTTCGCTTGTTTGTTGTTGTTGTTGCTAATTTTCACTCAGCCACCGCTGCTCTCGCTTTGATTAGCTCTGCTGCATACATTTTTGCATAGATTTCGACAACAGCAACAAGCAGCCTGCATGCGCTTTCTCGCTCTTACGCGCGGCTCTTAGCCACTTTTCTTTCCCCTTCTTATTTGTTTGACACGTTTTTTTTTTTCTTGTTTGTTTTCGCATTGCACCGATTGGCTGCTATTTGGCTCACTGCCAAACCACAAAAATTAAATTGTGAAATTTTTAATTATCTTTGATTTTACATATAATTATTCAAATGCACAAAATATACATACATAGATAAATATGTATCCGAAATATTTTATTGACCAAATAGCCTGTCAAACAATGGCGAATGGAAAAGAGCCAATAGCCGCGTAAGAATCTACAATGCATTAGTGATTTATTCTTTCTTTTTGATATTGTACATACATATTTTTATATTTGTTGATATATTTTGATATTTTTTAACACGTGGGCAATAATTTCAAAGGCAGATACATATCTAGATCCTACTATATGTATGCACATATGTGTACGGATATTTTTTGGCAACGCAAGCAGGTGAAAAATAGCAAAATACTTGTCAAATATAGTATTTAAATTTGTTCAAAAAAGGTAGTAGAAAAAGTAGTAGAATTAAAGTATAAAAATATATTGGAGCAGTACGGAAATTCTGCAGAAAATGTGTGTAATTTGATTTTAAAATAGTAATAGAAAGGTAGTAGATAACAAGTTCAAAATCTGTTAAAATAATAATGAAGCAGAGCTACTAGTATGTGAAAAGTAGTGAAAATTATTGAAAATATTTTCTCGAATCGTTACATATAGTAAAGATACCAAAATGCTTTCAGCTCATAGCATCAGATCAGACTGACTGTAAAAGTAATAGATAGTTTATTAAAAAGAAGTTTGCAGGAAGCCTAAAAATATTTATTCTGTAAAGAAACCTTGCGGTAAATAATGCTAAATAATTTGCTGAAGCTGGTTTAAAAGCCCTTGAAATTGGTATAGGCAAAAGTATCGAACAGTTGTATTAGAGGTAGCAAAAGATCAAGGCTCAAGCTAGAAGGAGCTGCTGGAAGAAGTAGCAAAAAAACTAAAGTTTTGCAGAAAAAGTAGTAGAAATTTATAAGTACAATAAGGAAGGGGCTAAAAACGTAAATAGGCTATGGTCACGTTTCTAAACATTAAGCATAAAATTAGCAGAGATTTATAATTAAATTTTTATAAAAAAGAGGAAAAGGTCCTTGAAAATGTTTAAAGAAAATTTGTAGAAACATAGTGTTAAGAAAAGTGTGTTCCAATAATAAAAATTTTGGGGAAAAGAAAGTAAAAGTAGTGAAAAAACACTAGAAAATGCTTAAAATAAATAGTTGAAAATGTAGTAGAAAAGTATCAGAAATTTATTAAAGATATAACAAATTTGGTGAAGAGAGAGGAAAAGAAGTAGAAAAAAGTACTTTAAAATGTTTCAAACATTTTCTAGGAAAAGTAGATAATAAAAAAATCTGCATAAATTTATTGGAAAGGAGATAATAAAGAATTTTCGAGAAAAAGGAGTTGCAGGAAGTACTAAAAGAAGGGCAGGAAAAAAATTTTAAAACTAGTCGAAAAATTGCAAAAATTTATTTGAAAATGTAGTAAAAAAAAATCGGAGAACAAGTAGGAAATCAAGTGGAAGAAGTAATAAAAATTCAAAAATCAATTACCAGAAAAAGTAATGGAAAGATAGCAGAAAATTTTAAAATTGTAATAAAGTTCCGGAAAAAAGGAGTTAAAAAGTTTAAAAAAAAATTAGTTTGAAGAATAGTAGAAAGTAACTGATAACAAAAAAAGGAGTCAAAGAGTTTGAAAATAAATATGAAATTTTTTTCAAAAAGTAGTTAAAAAGGTATCAGAAAAGTAGTACACATGTAGTGAATTTTTATTTTATTTTTTTTTTTTAATATTACAAAAAAATAAGAAAAAAATACTCTGCCTTATCCTGAGTTTCGCCCGAAAAAAAGCCAAAAGTGAAAAGTGAACTGGTTCGGGGAAAATGAAACTCATGATAAGGCTGATTATCTCAAGACTTCTTCGAGAAAACAAACTAAAAATCTTGAAACAAATGTTTCTAAATTAATTCTGAAAGAAATAGTAAATTTTACTTGAATTTTCTATTAGCATCCATTTATATATTTTTATATGTCGTACATACATATTTACATATATAAATCTTTCCGTACCACCCCAATCTATTGCTATAGCTATTTACATACACATGTGTATTACTACCTATGTATGTACGTATTAAAGTAAATAAATCTACATTCATTTACTTAAGTACGTGTATTTACTTTACACTCGCCTTGATATTTAGACCCTTTCTGTCAAATGCTGCATCAGCAAATTAAATTAATTACCAACACTTAACACCTTGTCGCTGATCTTTTGTGTCAAAGCGTACCAAACTTGCACAAGCAGACGAACACACCTATTTGCGAGTATAGCCAGACAAAGCTACCAAGTACATACAATATCCCCACCTCAAAGTATTTTTCGCCTAGCTGTAAAGGAATATGTACATATATATAAACTGTCATGTGAGTAAAAGTAGGAATTTTTTTCGCACGCTGACCCCAATAATTGGCGTTGAGCCAATGTTGACACGCTTGTAGGCACGCAGATGTACATACTGCATGAGAAAAATGCAAATATATGTGAGTAATTATGTAAATACATATATGAAGGAAAAGATAAGCAGGGAATCGCATGCAGAATCGACGATATAGTGCACTAGAGTATGGAGCAGATAAAAAC